CCATCCCTCCTGCGATGACAAGCTCTCCACTATGGATTCCAGCAGCTGCTCCTTCCGAAGGTTTCTGCCGTCGCGCTTCTGCGGCAGCCCCAACATAGCGCACAGCTGCCGCAGGTCAGAAGTGCTCTTGGCCTCCAACTCGGTCCGCAACCATGCCGCGCCTCCCTCTCCATGTCCCTCTCGCAGGCGCTGCACCTCTGGCTCCTGCTGCCCTGCTTCCTGTATCGGAATTTGCAGGGATATCAGAAGCAGACACCTATTGGAGCACAAGAAAGCAGCATCTCAACTAAGTTGAACTGTACACTGCACCCATCCCCTAACACAAATTGGGTATCTTAACAAAGATTGCAAGTCTTATATCTAGATGTCTTTCACGAAACCGTCCTCAACGTTCGGATGTGCCGGTGCCTGTCAGGGATTTTGCTTGGATACCAAAAGCAGACACCCATCCCCGAACACAACCCACTTCAGCACAAACAGCTTCTGTGAAAAGTTAAACACCGCTCTACGCCCATCCCCTGACTCCATCCCTCCTGCGATGAGAAGCTCTCCACTATGGATTCCAGCAGCTGCTCCTTCCGAAGGGTTCTGCCGTCGCGCTGCTGCGGTACTTCCAACTTCGCGCACAGCTGCCGCAGGTCGGAAGTGCTCTTGGCCTCCAACTCGGTCCGCAACCATGCCGCGCCTCCCTCTCCATGTCCCTCTCGCAGGCGCTGCACCTCTGGCTCCTGCTGCCCTGCTTCCTGTATGGGAATTTGCAGGGATATCAGAAGCAGACACCTATTGGAGCATAAGAAAACAGCATCTCAACTAAGTTGAACTGTACACTGCACCCATCCCCTAACACAAATTGGGTATCTTAACAAAGATTGTTGGGTATCTGAACAAAGATTGAAAGTCTTATATCTAGATGTCTTTCTCAAAACCATCCTCAACGTTCGGATGTGCCGGTTCCTGTCAGGGACTTTGCATGGACACCAAAAGCAGACACCCATCCCCGAACACAACCCTCCCTGCGAAGAGCAGCTCTCCACTATCCAGTCTAGCCAACACTCACTTCAACACAAACAGCTTGCGCGCAAAATTGCACTAAACACTACGACCATCCCCTTACTCCATCCCTCCTGCGATGAGAAGCTATCCACTACGGCTTCCAGCAGCTGCTCCTTCCGAAGGGCTGTGCCGTCGCGCTGCTGCGGCAGCCCCAACAAAGCGCACAGCCGTCGCAAGTCGGCGCGGTTCTTGGCCTCCAACTCGGTCCGCAACCACGCCGCGCCTCCCTCCCGGTGTCCGTCTCGCAGCCGCTGTGCCTCTTGCTCCTGCTGACCCGCTGCCTCCGCGTTTCGCAGAACTGCGTCCTGCAGACTGGCCATGGTCCGCGCGCCTCTTGACGAGAAGCTTCTGAGGTGTGTTGAAACTTCTTGCAAGTACATTCTTCACGACTCTTGCCTTGCTGTACGTTCCCGGCTACAGTCTGTGGAGACTTGCGCGAACTCACTTGGAAATTGCTGCGGTCTCTCTGCTTGAGCCACGAACACGAAACGAAACAATTTCATGAACATCTGCTTTATGCTGGCTTTGCCACCTACTATCTATACATACATATATACATCTATATAAGAATACTATGGCAGCCAGCGTGCTGGCTTTGCCATCTAGATTATGGGAGCCAGCTCACTGGCTTTCCCACTCCACTATGATGGCAGCCAGCGTGCTG